ACACTGTATTATTATTATTGAGAGACAGGCTCACTGTTCCTCAGGCTGTGATGGGAAATCACACGCTGTACTGTGCCTGATGGTTTCCTGCTGTCTTACTGCCTGTGATCTGTGTGCGCGCCCTGTGTAGATCAGCCCGTCAGATGGGAAAATCCTGCACTTTGGCAGGGTCAAGAACTGTGAGGTGGAGCAGGTGAAGGGGGTCACCTACTCACTGGAGACTTTCTTGGGGCCACACACATGGGGCGACGGCCTGCCTCCGAACCGCAGTGAGTACCCCGAATCCTTCTCTTCTCTCTTGCATTGTGGGCCAGTGTACCTCCCTGTATTACTGGACCTCTGCTGTGTTGCGTGGGAATCCCCTAAGCACTGGGGTCATGTGAAAACAGCTTCTGATCTGTGTACATGTCTGACGTGGCGTGACGTGTGTTTCTGCCTGTCCAGATGAGGAAGACTCCAGCTCCTTCCAGGATGTCCTGGTGACGAAGGAGGGTAACCAGCTGTATCACTGTGTCATTTACCTGGCGCCAGGTGACTACCACTGTTTCCACTCGCCCACTGACTGGAGGGTGGCACATCGACGACACTTTCCAGGTGAGGAAGCTTTCCTTATGCATGTCCTACAGCACACCTGTCCGCTTGTCCACAACTTGCCTCTACCTTTCCTGCACCTCCCCTGTCCCTGTCCTACAGCACATCTATCCCGCACCTCCCCTGTCCCTGTCCTACAGCACACCTGTCCCTGTCCTACTGCACACCTGTCCTACCTGAGAGGCTCACACACAGTCTGCTCTTCCTGCTGGTCATATTAAGAGCGTGTTTAGCTGCTTACCTCAGCTGAGCCCTAATCCCCCTTGGCGCAACCTTGGCTCTGCGCGGGCCGGGTCTCTGCAGGGCCGTGGGGACAGACGGGGAGGGGTGTTCGGTCAGGCTGGCCAGACGCCCTACAGACCAGCTACGGGCTCGGACTCTTGTCCCGGGGGGAAGAAATGAAACAAGCAGTAGCTGAATTTTCCTGGAAGGAAAGGACCTAAATAACAAACTCTCCCAGCAGAGATCAGACAGGAACGTTTTTCTGTCCCCCCCCCCACCCCCAGGCTCCCTGATGTCCGTCAACCCTGGAGTGGCTCGCTGGATCAAGGAGCTGTTCTGCCACAACGAGCGGGTGGTCCTGAGTGGGGAGTGGACCCACGGCTTCTTCTCTCTCACGGCCGTGGGCGCCACCAACGTGGGCTCCATCCGCATCTACTTCGACAAGGTGAGACCCCGCTGTACCCCGACACCCCTCCCGCTGCCGGTGTGAGCTTCACACGTCCCAGCACCTGGAGGCTCCCGCGCGGGTGAGCTCTGGGGACCCCTGTCCTGCTCTCCTCTCCCGCCCGTGATCTCGGCTCCAGAGTCGGAGCGCTTATTTAACTTCATAAGAAGATTAATCGCAACGGGTTTGACTGCTTTCGGCTCTGAAACCTGCTGGCCGTGGCCTTTTCACTTTTGCGTTTTGCAAGTTCCAAACCTCTGGAATATTTGCAGGTTTTATTTTTCCACGCTGTAAAGCAGCTTGTTAGTCCAGTCAAGGCTTCCTTTCGGTCACTAGCCTGCAGAGGGGGCGCGTCGCTGACTGAGCGCGGGCAGGGCTGGGGTGGCGGTTCTCTGGTCACCCCTCTCTGGCTCTTGGCGATCACATCGGGGGGTGTCGGAGATCGAGGGAGTCCCAGTTTTGTGTATTTGTGCGACGTCTGCTTGGAGGACCTCCATGCTGATACTATCAGCAGTTCTTCTGTAGCGCCCCCTGTGTTTGTGAACAGAATGAAAACCGGAACTGGACACTGAGTTGAAAAGAGTATGTAATTAAGAGATAAGAGATCAGATCACTTTATTGGCCAGATACAATTTCTTTCATTAGGAATTTGTCTTTTCGCAGACCCCAGCTTGCTCTCCATGAGACACACAGACAGGGAGAGAAGCTGGGGGTCAGAGCGCAGGGTCAGCCATTGCACAGCGCCCCTGGAGCAGGTGGGGTGAAGGGCCTTGCTCAGGGGCCCAACGGAGTAGGATTCCTCTGCCGGCCACAGGATACGAACCGGCAACCTTCCAGGGACGCTGTATAAATGGATGAGCAGGCACAGATCCTTAGCCACAGAGCCACTGCACCGCCCAATTAAAAGTACTTAGAGAAATGCAGCTGGAGCGCAGGGTTAACAGCGTCCTGCTCTGTCCTCTCTCTCCTGGGCTTGGCAGTGTGGGTGATGGGAGGACACAGAGGAGCTTGCCAGCTCCCCCTGCAGGTCTGCAGTGGTTAAGGCACCACCTACCTGCTGCAGGCGCTTGAAAGATTTCTGCCTCTGCTCCCCTGTTTTGGGCAGTTCTGAGTGTGCAGTAGAGGATGAGAAGAGGTTGTAAGTGTGGGGCTGTGCAGACGCAGCCCTGTCTCCTGGCTGGCAGTCCTGTGGGAGGGGACGGCACACGGAGTCACTGCCGTTCCTGCTGAATACGAGCATTTTCCTCTGCGTGTTCCTCTCCACCTCCTCCCCGTTCACTCCCTCTCTCTCCTGTTCCCCTGTGCAGGACTTGCACACCAACAGCCCGCGCTACAGCAAGGGCTCCTTCAACGACTTCAGCTACGTGTCCAACAACAACAGGGAGGGGGTCTACATGCGCAAGGGGGAGCACCTGGGCGAGTTCAACCTGGGCTCCACCATCGTCCTGCTGTTCGAGGCCCCCAAGGACTTCACCTTCAGCCTGAAGGCGGGGCAGAAGATTCGCTTCGGCGAGGCCCTGGGCACCATGTGAGCGAGAGAGACTCCGGCGCAGGGCCACGCCTGGACCCGGGACCGTGGCGCGCGGTCCCGGACACGCTGCGCGCTCCAGTCCAGACAGACCCGCGCGCACGCGCACGCGCACGCGCACACGGCCGGCCCCCCTCCCTCTCTCTCCTCCCTCGAACGCGCGCTCGTATAAAAACGAGGGCGTCCGCGAGCCGCCGGAGGTTTGGACTGGCGAAGCCGTGCGCCGAGCGTCGCCCCTCGCCGGTACAGCGGAGGCGGCTACAGACACAGAAACACGAGAGCAGGGTCAGACGCACACGGCGGGGCCCAGCGTCCTGTGTTTACTTCCGCCAAGCTCCCGGCTGCCTCTCGAGTTCCATTGAACTGATGGAAGGGCGGCTGTACGAACGCTGTCCGCAGACACCCGTCCTACAGCGCTCTTCTGAGCTGTGGGAGTGACCTCTGCTCTGCAGGAGTGACCGCCCCTCTGGCCTGGGGGAGTAACCGACCGCTCCTGCACTGTGGGAGTGACCTCTGGGCTGCAGGAGTGACCACCCCTCTGGCCTGGGGGAGTAAC